ATAATAATAATACATTTTATTTAAAGGCATACAGATGGGTGACAGTCATAAAAATCAAGACAACAATACAACAGCTGTTTAACTTTACTAAATATCTTCATGGAACATGATCTTTCCTTAATATCCTAATGATATTTGGCATAAAAGAAAAATCGATAATTTTGACTCATACAATGTTTTTTTGGCTATTGCTAAAAATACACCCAAGCGACTTAAGACTGTTCAGTGAATACAAACCTAATGCTTGATGCTGTAGCATAAAATAACAACAGTTTGTGGAGGGCCCATGTTTGCCTTATTATGATAGCACCCCTGTGCATAAAATGAGATCTCCATAAAAAATATTCACTATGGAAGAACTTAACTAGTCCGCACAAAGGCCAGACTTGAAGGCCACTGAACATCTTTAATAATAATAATAATAATAAATTTTATTTAAAGGCATACAATATCTTCATGGAACATGATCTTTCCTTAATATCCTAATGATATTTGGCATAAAAGAAAAATCGATAATTTTGACTCATACAATGTTTTTTTGGCTATTGCTAAAAATACACCCAAGCGACTTAAGACTGTTCAGTGAATACAAACCTAATGCTTGATGCTGTAGCATAAAATAACAACAGTTTGTGGAGGGCCCATGTTTGCCTTATTATGATAGCACCCCTGTGCATAAAATGAGATCTCCATAAAAATTATTCACTATGGAAGAACTTAACTAGTCCGCACAAAGGCCAGACTTGAAGGCCACTGAACATCTTTAATAATAATAATAATACATTTTATTTAAAGGCATACAGATGGGTGACAGTCATAAAAATCAAGACAACAATACAACAGCTGTTTAACATTAGACCATTTAAAATTGATCAGAGAAATCTAATCTAAATAAATACGTTTTAAGACATGATTTAAAAGTAGTCAGACAATCACTTTCTCGTATAGATCGTGGAAGAGAATTCCAGAGATGAGGAGCAGCACAGCTTAACACCCTGGACCCCATAATGACTAAACGAACAGAGGGTACAATAAGGGAAACAGATGAAGAAAACCCAAAAGTACACTTCGAGGTGTAGATATGAGGCAAGTCGGAGAGATATGAGGATGCAAGATTGTGAAGAGCTTTAAAAGTGAGAAGACGAATCTTGTACTCGATTCGATATTTAACAGGAAGCTGGTGTAAATGATAGAGAACAGGAGAGATATGCTCGATGGAGGAGGTTCTAGTAATTATACGGACAGCTGAGTTCTGGACCAACTGAAGTTTATGAAGGAGTTTGTGAGGTGGGCTAACCCAAACAGAAGAGAGTTACAATAATCAATGCGTGAGGTGACTAGAGCATGTACAAGAATGGCTGTGGAATTGGAGGTGAGGAATGGACAAAGATATTCCGTAGGTGGAAATATGCAGACTGAGTAATATTGTTCACATGCTTTTCAAAAAACAAAGTACGACACCCAGACTCTTAACCTGAGAAGATGAATAGTTTATAGAATTATCAATGGAGAGTGAAAAGCTATTTAATTTTGACAAATTGGATTTAGTAGCAACAAGATTCCTTTGAGATGAAAAGGAATGCCTACCGTGAACCAGGACCCATCGCCAACATCAGGGCCTGACCTCACCAATTCTCATGCCTGAATGGGCACAATCCCTGCAACTATGTTGCAACATCTGATATAAAGCTTTCCCAGAAGAGTGGAAATTATTTGGGAGGACCTAAACCCTAACACACTTTACTGTTGTAAGCAAAGACTACTCAACAGAAGCTTTTGTTGAATATTTACCCTCAATATTTGTATCTTATCTCACAGAATACAATTAACAAGTACAGAATCCAGTAAAAAAAATTTTAAAAAAGTTATGTCATGTCAAAGTCACAGTTTACAAAGTCATACATTTTACAAGCCCTGATCAATAAATGCCCAAAACACATGCTATTGATTTTTTTTGAGATATGGTTTAGTAGTAGGGCTGGTAATTCAGAGGCTGTAGTTGCAAGCCCCATAACCTACGACACCCAGAAGGGGCGAAAAAAAAACACCACTGTAAGACACTAAATGTCAAGTTACTGCAGGTGGATTACAACAAATGACTGACTTAATTAGCTACACTCTGAGTCTATAACAAAATGTAAAGGTACACTTTCCTTAAAGCTTCAGATAAAGAATATGGCCTATTTCAGACACAATGTGTTCTGATAGCTTCCTTTGTTTGTCAAAGTATGACTTGAGTGTGTGTGTGTAATATAAGTTAAATGGGTCAAACCATAGCAAAGCAGTGAGCAGAGAATGAGTGAAACAAGTGGTTCTTCTCTATTGTGTATCAGAGGGAGTGTGAGATATGGTTTAGTAGTAGGGCTGGTAATTCAGAGGCTGTAGTTGCAAGCCCCATAACCTACGACACCCAGAAGGGGCGAAAAAAAAACACCACTGTAAGACACTAAATGTCAAGTTACTGCAGGTGGATTACAACAAATGACTGACTTAATTAGCTACACTCTGAGTCTATAACAAAATGTAAAGGTACACTTTCCTTAAAGCTTCAGATAAAGAATATGGCCTATTTCAGACACAATGTGTTCTGATAGCTTCCTTTGTTTGTCAAAGTATGACTTGAGTGTGTGTGTAATATAAGTTAAATGGGTCAAACCATAGCAAAGCAGTGAGCAGAGAATGAGTGAAACAAGTGATTCTTCTCTATTGTGTATCAGAGGGAGTGTGTGTGACATGTGAGTATACATTACACATTGCCAAGCTGTAATGGCTCATGCAGTTGTGTTGCTGGACTGGATGACATATGGAAGTCTGGTGAAACATGAGACAGATGTCTTTCAGTAGAATGTCTAAGTATAAAGCTTGTCAGGGTTTCGCATCTCTTCAACATTACTGTGATGTAACACTGGCTTCTGGTTGGCCAACATCAAGTTGAATTTCTCTGACATATTATTTGGGCCACAAACAAAAAAATAATAATTATTCGGTCCTGCAGTGACAGTGATCATGGACCCACCCTGGAAAAGGCCTCAGGTAGATGATGGTGTAAAATCCCACACTGCAGGGTGATATTTGTTTACATGTCCATTTAGCAAGTCAAGAGCAGCTGTTATACAAGAAGAGGCAGAAATGATTTGACAAAGGTTTGACAAAATGTATAGTTTGCAAATTATGCACTAGCGTAAAAGTGTTTTAAAGTTATAACATAGTATTTCTCAAACAACCATGCAAAAATAAGTTAGGATTAATCAATAATCTGCCCATGTAATCATAATTTGTGTAAACTGGAATAAAAGTTGTTGAAGTTTTACTGCCACTAATACTTATTTCAGCTGGAAACTGCAGTAAATTGTATGCATACACTAGGTATGTTTTGCAAAAATGTAGGTAGAGATGCAAAAATGTTTCCAATGAGCCTATTTTGGATTAATCCCACTGCTGTTAATAACCACTTACTAGAAAGAAAGAAAGAGCTTTCAGAAGAAAGAGCTTTATTGCCAAGTATGTTTGCACATACAAGGAATTTGTTATAGTGTCACAAGCTTCCAGTACACGGAGACGACAACAACAACACACAGATAATAAAAATGAGATGTGAATAAAATACACATGCATAAATATAAACCACAAAAAAATAATAAATTGTATGTACAGGTGTGCTATAGATTATAATATGTGCTATAGGAATAGAATCAAATAAAATAAGTTGTAGGGATGTACTAGGGTTTAGGGTGATAAATAAATATAAGGTTTTTGCACATACTAAAACACAAAAGACAAATCTGTTTACAAAATTTGGAGAGATTTGTAATGTAATCTATCACAATGCATCCTAGACAATGTCAAAGGACTGTTCATTCACCTCTCAATCAAAGACTCCACAAAAACCATGATTTAAACTTGGATAAGGCCAACATATTCATGCAAAATGCAAAGAATGCCTCTGGTTTGTCTGATATCATTCCATTCTGACGATTCGATGACAGCTGCTCGCATCTCAGCATGTCTAACAGACATTTCTTGCTGGATGAAGAACCATCACCTTCAATTAAAATTTGCCAAGACAGAACTGCTTGCGGTTTCAACCAACCCAACCCTTCATCACAATTTCTCCACCCAGCTAGTAGGCACATCAACCATAACACCTTCCAGGACAGCCAGGAACCTTGGAGTTGTGATTGATTATCAGCTGAATTTCTTAGACCACATTGCGAAAAACTGCCCAGTTCTGCAGATTTGCCTTATACAACATTAGGAAGATCAGGCCCTTTCTATCGTAACATGCTACACAACTTCTTGTTCAAGCTCTTGTTCTGTCCAGGCTGTAATGCTCTCTTGGCAGATCTTCCAGCCAGTTCTATCAAACCTCTGCAACTACTCCAGAATGCAGCAACAAGATTAGTCTTTAATGAACTGAAAAGAGCACATGTCACACCTCTGTTCAACAATTTGCACTGGCTACCAATAGCTGCTCACATAAAATTCCAAGGCATTGATGTTTGCCTATAAAACCACCACTAGCTCCGCACCCCTTTACCTAAATTCAAAACTTCAGACTTATGTGCCTCTCAGAAGCTTGCGTTCTGCAAGTGAACGGCGCTTTGTAGTGCCATCCCAAAGAGGCACAACATCACTTTCAGACTTTTACCTTAACTGTTCCCTGCTGGTGGAATAGGTCATTGAGATTGAGGTCACCCAACTCAATCCGAGCAGCTGAGTCTTTAGCCATTTTTAAGAAACGTCTAAAAGACACATCTCTCCCATCTACACTTGACCCTCTATCACTAGAGCTCTCTATTCTATTTCTATTCCATCTACTTGTTTTCTTTTTATTTATTAAAAAAAACTTGACCCTCTGACACTTGAGTTCTCTATTCTATCTACTTGTTTTCTTTTTAATTATTAAGAAAATAATAATAACTTGGTCCTCTAACACTAGCTCTATCTTTCTCAACAAATATTCAGACAAGAGTATGCCAATAAAGGAAAGACAGTCATACCTATGGAGTCCAACACAAACTGGTCCTGCGTGACTCCCAGAGGAGGCTGAACACACACCGTCATCTTTGGGCTGTGCACCGCACCACGATTCTTTATTTTAACCTGAGAATAAAGCACACATTCAGGACATACTGTATCACATCAACATTAAAAAGCACTACATGCTCCTATTACACAAGAAAATGTAATATTCTTAATAAACAACAGTGTTAAATGTGCTGCACCCACTTTGACTGTGACAGAGGGGACAGGCATGCCGTTCATCTCAGGTATAACAGCACACTGTGAGCGAGATCATCACAACACATGAGACAGAAAAGTGTGTGTGAGACAAAACAGTATATCTACAAGTACACAAAATCTGACAAAACCTTCTGTTGTGGACATCCTCAAAGGTAAAAATGATTGATAAAGCATTTTCTTGAGTTATGGTCTAAGGTTAGTCTGTAGTCATTAAAGTGCATTTTTATAAGAATTTTGTATCAAACAAAGTGATACAAAGTGTGTGTGTGTGTGTGTGTGTGTGTGTGTATGTGTGTGTGTGTGTGTGTGTATGTGTGTACTTAACTAACGTATAAGTATATAATAAACTATCTATCTTCAAAACTAAGCTAAATATGACAAAAGCTTTCTTTAGTGACATTCAGGGAAGTTTTCTTTTAGCGGTAGCTTTAGAAAAAAAATGTACTTAAGTCTACAGTATGTCTTTGTCTCAATAGCTAAACCTGTGTGAATGTGTGTAAAAATGATTCATAAATAATAATAAATGTAAAAATAATGTAAGTTTTTATTTAGGGATAAGGTAGGGTTTGCCGTTGCCTGCAGTCATTATAATGAGCTTCATATAAAAACAGCAGAATTATATGAATGAGATAAACGTGTTCGCATTTGTACCGAGACTTCATCCAGGTGAGATGAGACTATGGCCGTCAGAGTGAGCTCTTCCTCAGTCTCTGCCCTCGGGAGAATGTCTGGAGAAAGATCACACACAAATTTTTGTGCGACAGAACATTTAGATGTAGAACAATACTTGATTATATTCATGTATTTTCAGAAATATAAGTCACATTTTTTTATAATCTGTAACGTACTGCAAGTTATATTACTGTTAAAGGGGTCATATGATGTTGCTAAAAAGAACATTATTTGGTGTATTTGGTGTAATGAAATGTGTTTATGTGGTTTAAAGTTCAAAAAACACATTATTTTCCACATACTGTACATTATTGTTTCTCCTCTATGCCCCGCCTTTCTGAAACGCGTAGATTTTTACAAAGCTCATCGGTCTGAAAAGCGAGGTGTGCTCTGATTGGCCAGCTATCCAGTGCGTTGTGATTGGCTGAATACCTCAAGCGTGTGATGGAAATGTTACGCCCCTTACCATACTGTGATGCCCTCGCCAGAGCGACGAGACAAAAACATTAAAACCCATTATAAATGAGGCATTTGTTGCATCCAGTGGGGACATAATTACAGATTATAATGACTTATACTGTCTTTTTACGCGTTGCATCGCGCCGCATAAACATAAAACCATGTCTGCATTTGTGATCGGATAAATTACAAATAAGCTCTACTCTATGCTGCTCAAAACTCGCGTTTGAATCATCAGTGGCAAATCCTTTAAATGAAAACGTACTTAAGAGTCTGTGAGTCAGAACATTCGGCATTGTAGTCTACTCTACCAGGATCAGGAAACAGTCCTCCATAAAATGAGCTGCACACAAATGAATATTTGGGTTGAACTGTTCTGGAACAGTGCTGTACATACAACTTAACCACTGATTTCTAGTCGTGTCTTCTTTTGGAAGACCAAACAAAGTAGTTTCGCTTTCACAACGAAACACACGGCGGGCTAGAGTGAGCGGAGGTGGGCGGGCTTGAGAACGGCACGGCCGGCGGGCTTGCGGCAACAACATGTGATGACCCCAGGCTGGACTCCGCAAATCTTCCCACATAGTGACGTAGACATGTGTGGGCGTGTTAGAATGAGCCGTTTTAGGTAGGCGTGGTTGACTCTGAACTTTTATAAAGAATATTATAAATATTCTAAATGAGACTTTAGTCTTTGCAACTTTACAGATCTTCTTTATGCACCAAGAGCTTGTAACACTTCAAAGAGAAAGGAAAAATTGAAATCGCATATTGAAATCATATGACCCCTTTAACATCTATTAACACACACAGCGTGCATTTATTTTGTCTAAATTCTGTGCATCATACCTTGGGTTTTGGTAGCCTCACGAATAACCTTTTGCAGCATTTTCATCTCGGTGTCCACCTCATCATAGTTGACCTCTCGGGCATCCACTTTAGGTGCAGTGAAGAAGGAGGGGTCAGTGCCCATGTAAGAGCACTGGAGATGACCGTCAGAGCTCAGAGTCACCACCAACCCCTTCAGCTCCCTGAAAACAGAACACATTTCAATGCATGTCTGTCTTTAAACAAAAAATATTTTCTGCTTAGACTACTGAAGGTCTCTTACTTCATGATCGGTAAGATGGTTGGTTAAGTGATATATTTATTATTTTTTATTAAAGTGCTTTGATAAATAAGACTGAAGGCTAACAGCCATTTATTGTACTGTAGACACATTGTGCCCATTATGACTATTTATGAATATTTTTAGGATTTTTAATAGCATGGTGTGATTGGTTTCTTTCCATGTTTTGTACTGTTGCTTTCTGACTATTAGATTGTACTTCTCTACAGACAACATTGTAACTTTGCACTTTTTAATGCTACTTGTCATGTTGTTTTGGTGTATTCCACATATGATAGTTATGCCCCCCCCCCCAAAAAAAATCAAGACATTAGCTTAATTTATATGACTATAAAGGAAAGTTGTTCACTAGCTTTTCCACAATTTTATTTATTTATCAAAAGTCTTCTATGGATGTGTTAAATATTACTGTAGTAATATATGCAAGTCTACATTATGTATCATACATGTATGTTGCATGAATGAAAAATGTTGCCCTCATTATCTGGAAGACTGTTGGATATTTCAAAGTGCTTTCAATAATTTTGACAGATAGCAAATTGTATTTCCCTGCTTTCCCATAAAAACTGCTGATAGGGATGGGGAAAAGGAGAAAATTATGTTTTAACGCGCCCATGTGAAAACAAGCCGGGAAAGAGACATGATTGAGGATTTGTGAAGAAGATGAGAGATTTTTACTGCATTCCAGTAATTTATTCAAGGCATGTGTTCATTAAATCAGGAGAGAAGACCCCATGAGTCCAGGATCTGTTGTGTTTTTCCTATTGTGTTACAGAAAAATCGAAAAATCAGGAGGAACCGAACACAGCGCACTAAAAAGATATTCTTGTGAATTACTTGTATATGTTACATTAAAATATCAGGCAATACAATATTTTCCTGACAGATAAAAATAGAGCCTGACAGGAAATGTATGGCTTATTCAGTCAAACTGATGGATAAGGAATATCTGTAGAACTACAATTTATTTGAAATGCTTTGTTGTGTTCCTCAAACTGCCAACCATAATTTAAAGCAGACTCGTTTGGGAAAAGGTGCATATTGACATGCATCTAATTTGGATTGCTTCTACTAACAGATGAATTTATACCAAAATACCATTTGTTTGATTGAAAACATGGGCTTTAACTAAAAGATGTGAAGTGTTTTGTCCTGCCTTGATAAGTCCATTTGTTAACCTATTCTATCTATGTATGATTGTATGGTTAGCTGCATTTATCTTTAATATAGTAAAGTGAAGGTTTTTGAGAAAGTGAAGGTGTGAGTGGTTATGCGTGTGTGTGTGTGTGTGTGTGTGTGTGTGTGTGTGTGT